TACACACACACCTACCCATACACAAAAACGTCACGAGCACAAACGCATAACCTTTTTTTCCAAAACGAACACGATATAATTGCATGAAAACCCACGCGAACGCAGCATCGACAGCACAAACAAAAGCCACCACCATTGAAAGCCAGAAGGATGCCGGGGGAGGCGTCCTTCACTGCAACGGAAAATATCAACTCGCTCTATATCGATTTGCGGTGATTTCCAGCGGTGCTACAAAGGCCACTCACGATAGCTGCGACTGTATCATGACAGGGGAACCTGCGCTGTGAAATTGGAAATAAATGAGAGAAAGGCGAGGTTAGAGAAAAAGTAAACAGGAATAACGTGAAAATAAAATAAAAAATAAATGAATAGTTGTAATGAAGCTGCCGCTTTTGGAAAGAGTTCTTGCGATATGGCGTCGCTTTTAATATTCATCAACATAGGAGGAGGATGGGTATCAACATGGGGGTAATGTGAAGTATGAAAGGGGAATAATGAGAGACGTCAACAGGGAAGAATCATGGGTATCAACAAGAAGAATGAGAGGGGTGTCAAATGGGGGAGAATGAGAAGTATTAAAAGAATAGAATTATGGGTCTGTACAGAAGAGAATGAGTGATATGTACAGCAAAGAATGAGGTGTATCAAGAGGGGAGAATGAATGGTATCAATGTGAGAGAATGAAGGATATTAATAGAGAATAATGAGAGATATTATGAGAGAATAATATTGGGCATTATCAGAAGAAAATTAAGATATTATTGTAGGATAATTAAGAGTATCAGCTCATGGTAATGAGAAAGTATTAACACAAGATAATATGAGGTATTAAGAAAGGATAATATGGGGAATTAACAGAGGATAATACGAGTATCAACAGTGGAAAAGGAACGGTATCAACAGTGGATAATAAACAGAATCAACAGATGGTAAAGAGGGGGGAATTAACAGAGGATAATAAAGGAGTATTACCTCTGAAGAATCAGGAGTACTAATTAGAAAGATAGGAGCAAGATCTTGGAACTATCAAACCCAGTTAAAACTCGTAACACTGAATATAAGCTGGAAAATTTAAAATTCCAGAAGGATCCGGAGGAGTATTGGTTTAGTAACTTGGCTGCACACAAGTTGAATAGGTCACCGGTCAACCTCTCATAGGCTTGGTATAAAAATTGGGTTGATGGATGGAGGAGAGAGGGGATGAGATCTAGATGGGGTGGGGGAGAGGCTTGATCAAGATGGAAGGGAGGGGAGGGTAGAGGAACTAACCATCTACCAACACTCTTGGTAGAGGGGGTTCGAGCTAGATTTGACTAAGAGGCTCTCTATAGTGACTCTTACTTTCTACTGGTCTTATGTTATCTGTTTACTTACTCCTGTGAACAATCACACGCATACACACACACACACACACACACACAACCAGGTATGACCTGGTTGTGTGTGTGTGTGTGTGTTTTTTAAAACCAGATATGATAGGGAAATGGGACAGGAGTCATTGCTGTAAACAACCGATGCTCGAAAGGCGGGATCCAAGAGTCAATGCTCGATCCTGCAGACACAACTAGGTGAGTACAACTAGGTGAGCACACACACACACACACACACACACACACACACACACACACACACACACACACACACACACACACACACACACACACACACACACCTGTTACTGACATGTTTTGTACTAAAGTTTACTTAACCACCTGACTCTGCTTTCTCACTGTATACCGAAAACATTCACTGTTTGTTACTTCTTCACTCTGGCACGCCTTGATCCTTGTTCACTATGGCCACTCCTTGCTTCTTGTTCACTCGGCCACTCCTTGTTTCTTGTTCACTCTTGTTTCCAATCAACTTCCTCAAGATTGTTCTTAAGCCCATAAACATGCTGCATCCTCATCCGCTTTCGTTATCATAATCCCCGCTGGTTTGGCAGCATCCACACACACGCACCCTCCACACCCAGCAAAAGCTTGCCTCATCATCCACATTTAGTCTCAACGCGAAGTAAAAGCTAACATCAGCATCCACCACTGCATTGGCATCATCAATTCACACCCTCAACAAACCCCGCCCCGTTTAGCGTTTGTTACACACAGAACAAGGTAGTCTCATCCATCCTTGTCTTGGGGATGCAGCGTGTCTGCCGACTGCGTGCCCATCTCCCTGTTGAAGCTTATTCGCACCTACACACAGCTCGTTACGAATGCCATTACTTAAGCTCATCAATTTAAACCTTCGGGTGCAATATGTCTGCTCGTTGAGTGCAACATGCGGCTGTAATTCACCTCATCCGTTCACACCTGCAGCCAAAGCTCAGCCATTGCAAGGCATGTTAAACACACCATCAGTTTATGTCTCCTACTCCTGCCTTTGTCGGCCACTCTTGTCTCTCAATGTGTATGCAACGTGTGCAGCATCAGACTGGTGATTCACCTGAGCCTTTTTAAACAGCAGCTGCATGCAGTGCTTGCCAGTGGCAGTCCCAGTTTGCTCATCCATCTCCACCCTGAACAGGAACACACAGGCAATGTATGTTGCATCCAGTATCACCTTTCTCATTCGTCTTCCTCTCGCAAGCAACGACGTCTCTCTAAGGAGAAAATTACCATAACAACAATATTACTACAACTTCTTTGTAAATTGTATACTAATCTGCATAATCAATTGTTCAAAAACAAAAATCTCCTACATATAGAACGAACAAGAAAGATGAAACTAGCAAACCCATTCCGGGACGAGCGCCTTGGCTGGCTCCTATAAGACGTGCTTGTACAACAGGTTTTTTCCCCTTGACGTGAGGCACCACCCTCTTCGCTTATCAGGTAAAGCAGCTGCCCTGCCGGACGTACGCCATGTTGTGGAAGACCTTGATCTTACTCCCGTCAGGACATGATGTTTCCCACATGCAAAAGTACTAATAAGGTATGAATGCAATTGATGGTAAATCCATATATTATATATAATATAACGGATTATTTGGTTGTTTGTCCGAAGAAAGGGGCGAGACGCTTGGGATAAGTCTCACCCAACTTTCACACATGGGGTCGGGGGTCTGCCCCAGGTGTCATGCTGTAAGAAATATCGGTGTCTTAAGTGTCCCACCTGCGATTTTAATAAAGTCTGAATTAAAATCAGAGGGGGTGAAAACCCTAGAGTTGGTTATTATTTACTCACGCCGTTTATCTGGGTAAAATTGGGGAGAGAGGGGTGGTAGAAAGGGGGGAGAGTAGAGGAGAGGGGGAAGAGGATTGGGGGCAGAGAGAAGAGGAGAGAGGGGGGGGGGTGAAAAGAGAAGAAAGGAACAAAAGGGAGAAAAGGAGAGGAGAGAGAGAAAATAGAGGGGAGATGTTTAGAGAAAAGAAAGGACATAGTATAAAGGTGGATAGGGCGGGAGAGTGAGGAAGGGGAGATTGACGAAGGGGAGAAGAAGGGATAGAGGTGAGACTGGGAAAATGAGGGACACTGGAAGAGAGAGCGTGGAATGATGGAGAGTGGGGAGAAGAGAATGCTGGGATAGAAAGGCGAAGACTGGGAGATAGGGGAATAAAGGAAAAAAATAGATGTGAGACTGGGAGAGATGGAGGAGAGTGGAAGAGAAACAAGGGAAGGGAAACAGAGAACAGGGCGCAGCCAGGTATCCCATTAAGTATTAAATACAAAATAGTGGGACTAATTTCCTTTTATAGAGGAAGCAAACATAACGTGTGGTCGATTATGTTGAAACATAAATCATTATGATCACCAACACCAGCAGAAACAGCAGCAGTAGTAAAAGCTGAAGCAGAAACAACAACAGAGACAGTAGCTGAAGCAGCAGATCAAGCAACTGTTGAAACTGCAGTAGAAAATGCACCATCAATAACATCAATTGCATTTCAGAATCATGTAATGATTCTTAAGAACCTCAATTAAGAACAAAACTATATGATAAGTCTAAAATCTACGACAGACTAAGTCGTAGTCGTATTAAAACTAGTTGCAGTATTAAAATCAGATGCATTAAAGTCGTATTAAACTAGCAGATACAGTTTAATACTGACAAATGTATAGTTCTGAGCTTAAATAACGAAAATAACATTTCCATATATTAACTGGACAATGATGAGAATGCCAAATCTAAACACAGCTTAACGCAACCAAATGTTTCTAAAGCAGGTTACACGTTAATATGAACCAGTTCGCTTTGGTGTAAAGAGGAGCTGCTTTACATATGCTCAATATCCTTCCTTCAACCTATTCTTATGAAGCTTATTTGCCCGATTCGCAAATTATGGCGACCAATCAAGCCCAGATGGGATGTACGCATCCTCTACCTTCCAGGCAGTTGCACCGATTCACTATCATATATATCGTCTCTTTCCTCCAAGTCACGACCTCGAATACAGCACCAACGCAGATAATCTCATCCGTTAACCAACGAAAGCCGAACTACAGTAACCAGAGCGCGCGACACCATATAGTGGAAACGTAGATTCCCGTCACTCTCGCAATGATTGGTCGATGTTGTTTAAGATTCAGCTTCTTGGAACAAAAAGTTCCAAGTAGCACGGGCTATGGTGAGCCCGTATTGGACTTACCTGCCACAGGAGTGGGGCTGTAACTGGGATTGGTCGAATTTGCTGTCTCTAATATCGTCCACACATCACATGGTACTCACGGGTCTAAAAAAGGACATAACGGAAATGATAGACGCACTTATCTAGAATAACATCCTTATTAGCTGTATACAAATATTGAAAACAGGAAAAATATATTTGTCTCAACATTTCAATCGTTGTTTGGGTGCATGTACGACTGTAATAAGCTGAGATCTATCACTGTGCTTGCAGTCCCAAGAAAACAGCAAGCAAGAACACTTGGCAAAGAAACAACAGTACTATTGTTGCTGTAATGCCAGCATTAACAGCAATAGCAGTAAATCAACATCCCTAACAGCAGCAGCAGCAACATTATAACATCAGCACAGCAAGCACTAATGCAAGCAATAGCGGCAGCATGTACAGCAGCAGCAGAACAGGAAGCAGCAGCTGCATAGAAAGCGGCAACAACAACAATATCAGAGGAAGCAGCAGGAACAGCAAAAAGCATCACAAGAGGAAGCAGCATCGACAGCAGCAACACCAACATCACCAAAGAGAGCAGAAGCAGCAACACTAGCAGCAGAGGAAGGAGCAACACCAATACCAACAGCCTCAGAGGAAGCAGTAGAGGACGCGGCAGCATCAACAATGACACCACCAGATGAAGCAGCATTAACAGCAGCAGAGAAAATAGCAACAATTGCAGCAGAGGAAGCCGCAACACAAGCAGCAACATCAACAACAATAGCAGAAGATAAAACAGTAACAATTGCAGCAGAGAAAGCAGCAACATCAACAACAATTGCAGCAGAGGAAGCAGCAACACAAGCAGCAACATCACCAACATATAGCAGCAGCACAAGCAGCAGACGAAGCAGCAACCTCACCAGCAATAACACCAAGAGAGGAAGCAGCAACTCCAGCAGCAGGAACAACATCAACCCCAGCAGGAGTGTGTAGGGAATGGCCTCGAGCAGCGAGGGTCTTGCGCCCAACTCCCCGGCGCACCTTGACCTTGAAGTCTCCAGCTGGGGATTCCCTGCACGCTAGGCACTCCATCTGGCCTGCCACCTGTAACACACTCCACCTGGCCTGCCACCTGTAACACACTCCACCTGGCCTGCCACCTGTAACACACTCCATCAGGCCTGCCACCTGTAACACACTCCATCTGGCCTGCCACCTGTAACACACTCCACCTGGCCTGCCACCTGTAACACACTCCACCTGGCCTGCCACCTGTAACACACTCCATCTGGCCTGCCACCTGTAACACACTCCACCTGGCCTGCCACCTGTAACACACTCCACCTGGCCTGCCACCTGTAACACACTCCATCTGGCCTGCCACCTGTAACACACTCCATCTGGCCTGCCACCTGTAACACACTCCATCTGCCCTGCCACCTGTAACGCACTCCATCTGGCCTGCCACCTGTAACACACTCCATCTGGCCTGCCACCTGTAACACACTCCATCTGGCCTGCCACCTGTAACACACTCCATCTGGCTTGCCACCTGTAACACACTCCATCTGGCCTGCCACCTGTAACACACTCCACCTGGCCTGCCACCTGTAACATACTCCACCTGGCCTGCCACCTGTAACACACTCCATCTGGCCTGCCACCTGTAACACACTCCATCTGGCTTGCTACCTGTAACACACTCCATCTGGCCTGCCACCTGTAACGCACTAAATCTGGCTTGCTACCTGTAACACACTCCATCTGGCCTGCCACCTGTAACACACTCCATCTGGCCTGCCACCTGTAACACACTCCATCTGGCCTGCCACCTGTAACACACTCCATCTGGCCTGCCACCTGTAACACACTCCATCTGGCTTGCTACCTGTAACACACTCCATCTGGCCTGCCACCTGTAACACACTCCATCTGGGCTACCACCTCCAACACACTCCACCAAAAAGCCAAGAAAATCCTGCCCAACATATCATGGCATACAGTACATTCATTAGTCAATGAGTGCATACAAATCGCGTCACTTAAGTTTTACAAATGCATATACCCATTTGCTGTCTTTCCATTTGTCTATTGCGTCCAAATCGAGTATGTGTTAAGAGTGAAGACGGAATAGTGCCTTTGTAACGCTCCTTGTCACTTCTTATATTTCTACGTACTCTGCTCTCTAACAGGTTTTTGGACTTAGTTGGGATGCAAATTGCTCTGTGTCATAAGTGTTATTCTCGTTATTCCTGCACACACACACATGCAACAATTACCTTGTTTATATCTTAAAAAACAATAACTACAACCTGTTAAAACAGTCAGTGTTTTACTTCGTGCACTTAGGGATAATTAACTTAGGATATGACTGTTGCGAATCCCGTTTTCCCCTGACTAGTTAATAGCAGTTGCTAATGTTTACCTGCACTTTTATGGAGGTAATTGACGTTCAAGAAACACCTTCAATTTTGTCAAGGAAAGGAAAAAAAAATTCTTCCAACACGCAAATATGAAGGCAAAATCAATGTCCTAGTTTAGGCGAGCTTCCTGTTAATAGGACAGTTATGTTGTTTAGCTTTCTGTTGTTTCTATGAGCGTTCTGTTGATTCTTCGAGCGTTCCTTTGTTTATTTGAGCGTTCTCTTGATTATACGAGCGTTCTCTTGTTTATACGAGCGTTCTCTTGCTTATGCGAGCGTTCTCTTGCTTATACGAGCGTTCTCTTGCTTATGCGAGCGTTCTCTTGCTTATGCGAGCGTTCTCTTGTTTATGCGAGCGTTCTCTTGTTTATGCGAGCGTTCTCTTGTTTATACGAGCGTTCTCTTGTTTATACGAGCGTTCTCTTGCTTACACGAGCGTTCTCTTGTTTTTGCGAGCGTTCTCTTGTATATGCGAGCGTTCTCTTGTATATGCGAGCGTTATCTTGTTTATACGAGCGTTCCATTTTATATCTGCGAGCCTTTTATTGTTCATAGGAATGTTCCGTTATAGACTCTTACACTCGCATGTTCTCATCCACCTAATTAGATCTCGCGCCTCCAACTCTCGTACTCACGAGTACGAGAGTTGGAGGCGTACCGGATCACTCTCCTCCGCTCTCGCACTCATCCGGTGTCCTCTCCCCCACTCTCACTCTCGCATGCCACCTCCCCTCCGCCCGCAAATTTACATTACACTCTCAATTTCTACACTTCAAAAAATCTGTTTTTATCTGGCTTTTATTTCACCCTAAATTCCCCCTTCAGGCCGATCTAGTCGTGTTCTAACTTTCTTGTTATCATCCCTCGCATCAACTAGCCATTCTCCCCCCCCCCCTCACTACCCATCCAACCTATCTATAACCAAACTTTACACACCAGTTCGTCTAGCTACTCTATTACCTAACCCGAATAGGGACCTTACTTTTGCATTATCAGTTTTCTGCACTTTATTTGAAGGGGGGTTCCAAATTTTCTATATTTTTTTACCTCATTGCCATCTCATTCCTCCATACATTTCACACACACACACATACACACTTACACACATTCACACTTACACATGCAGACTCCATGCACAGTTTCAAATGCAGATACGATAGAGCCCAATAGGCACATAAATCTGTACACCGATTGATTGACAGTTGAGAGGCGGGACTAAAGAGCCGAAGCTCAACCCCTTCCCCCCCCTCGCAAGCACAACTAGGTGAGTACAGGTATACGTTGGTAAATAATAAAAATGGAATTAAAAAAAAATAATGCCAACACGTATTCTGGAGCAATTATTTTGATAGCCTGATAAATGGACTAGGCAAGGCTGTGCCGTTTTAGGAATGATTGGCACACGCAGTCCAAACATGAATAATTGTTGAGCTTCCATGTCCATGACGCACCTGCTGGAGGTTAAAGTTATAATAACCTTTAACCTTCTTAAAGCTGTTATGAAGATTTAAGGAGCCCAAATACTGAGGCATGAGGAGCTCAGATAAGAAATTTGGCGAATGACATATTAGGAGATAATTAAATGAGTTCAAATACGAGAGTTGAAGGATTTCATTTAAGAAGGCTGAGCTCACACTCAAAGCAGGAGGGAGCTCACATGTGGAGAATAGAAGGGGCTCAAATACGGATTTTGATAAAGCTCAAATACAATTACAAAAAAAAAATCAAACACCAAATGATAGCTGGCCACCTAATGCTGCCTGATATAGTAAGCATAAGGACCATGTTTTGTCTGATTTAACAAGTAAAACCAGGATCATCTTCTGATTACTTGAGCCCTTATCGTCAGACGAACATAAGAATCAAGGAAACAGCATTACTATTGTTATGTTAAGGAAACACAATTATTGTTACGTGTATTCGTTTCTGAACCTGCTGAATCTATTTCACAACTGCTGAACTGTTTCTGAACCAGCTCAATCTGTTTCTGAACCTGCTGCATCTGTTTCTTAACCTGCTGAATCTGTTTCTGAACCAGATAAATCTTTTTTAACCTGCTGAATTTGTTTCTGAACCTGCTGAATCTGTTTCTGAACCTGCAGAATCTGTTTCTGAACCTGCTCAATCTGTTTCTGAACCTTCTCAATTTGTTTTTGATCATATTGAACCTATTTCGGAACCTCTTAAATCTATTTTATTTATCTTATGTCTTCTATTCTCTATGTACTTCCCGCTCCCTCATCCTTTGTGCTGTTGTATTTTATCACTGAGTGTAATTACATAACTGTAATTACTAAAGTGTAATTACCTAAGTGTAAATTGCCATCCATACTTCCGTGATAATAAATATCACTCTTATGAGCTTCAGTAGTAGTCAGGGGAAGTTGAACATTCCAGCATAGCAGCAGTAGTTCTTCCTGGAATCTTTCCTTATTGAGGCTACTCACAGCTGAGTGGATAGAGCCTCTGCCTCACATGTGGGGGTCCATGATTCGAGTCTCCTAGAGGCCAGGTCAATGGAATAGCTAAGTTTAGTTATGTGATGAGAGCTGAAGGTGTGGTGTTCTAGTACTCTGTCATGTGTTTGTACTCACCTAGTTGTGCTTCCGGGGGTTGAGCTTCGGCTTTTTGGTCCCGCCTCTCAACCGTCAATCAAGAGGTGTACAAGTTGATGAGTCTATTGGGCTCTATCATATCTACATTTGAAACTGTGTATGGAGTCTGCCTCCACCACATCACTACCTAATGCATTCCATTTATTAACTATTCTGACACAACAAAACTTCTTTATGGCTTGAACAAATCCACAAGGGCCGTGACGAGGATTCGAACCTGCGTCCGGGAGCATCCCAGACACTGCCTTAATTGACTGAGCTACGACAGGGTTAAAAAGAGTTGAAACTGAAGTTCTACTGAACTTACTGATGATGATATTGTAATGATGTTTTTATGGCTTATTTGAGCACTCAATTACCAACTGTGTCCCCTAGTACGTGAATGTGCCCCTAGTGTTACATAAACTGTCTTTGTCTACCTTATCAATTCCTCTAAGAATCTTGTATGGAGTGATCATGTCCCCCCCAACTCTCCAGTCTTCCAGCGATAGGAGAGTATACACACCTATTTGTGTGTGTGTGTGTGTGTGTGTGTGTGTGTGTGTGTGTGTGTGTGTGTGTGTGTGTGTGTGTGTGTGTGTGTGTGTGTGTGTGTGTGTGTGTGTGTGTGTGTGTGTGTGTGTGTGTGTGTGCGCGCGCATGCATGTATTTAAGAACAAACTCACGTTCATGTGCGTGTGCAGAAGAACAAGGGGAAAGAATCAACAGCAAATAAAATCATTTTTATTCCCAGTTTTTCATACGCGTATCAAACTTCCATCAGATTAAAGGACCGCGGCTTAATACAAGAGTGAATAAAAGAACACTCCAGGATAAGGGGAGGGGAAGGATGATTGATAATACAATTCGTGATTTCATATTTTTTTTACAAGTCATGGTAGTGGTTGTGAGTTTGGTCCGGGACTTATGTGACCCTCACAGACTCCATAGGGGGTGGGTGTGAGGGGTCCTGAGGGCCAGAGAGTTCCATGTTTGTGGGTGCGTAGGTCACGATACTGACAACTCACGAACTCCATAAACTGAAGCACGATTTTTTCATTGTTTAGCTATGTGTTTTTGAGATATTTGTGTTATGTGATGCATATATATATATATATATATATATATATATATATATATATATATATATATATATATATATATATATATATATATATATACATTTTATATATTTTATTTTTTTTAATTGTAAAAATAAAATGGAAGGGAGTACCACCTCTGGCTGGAAGAAGGGGGACCTTTACCCTCGGAGGAAACCACACATAACGCAGTAGAGGGAATGTTTAGGTCCCCTCCAATACAGTTTCTATGTGCTTTTCTTCTACCACCCCCTTCCTTTTTTTTTTGCTTTATTGATATTTAAAGGTTACAAGATATACATTGGTTGATACAATAAAATGCCTAAAGGTTATGGATTTCTTGAAGCTCCTCCGCTTCCGGACAGGAACCGAGGACGCAGCAGGCATTTCCCCTCTGGATCGCCACACTGAGACGCTGAAAAAAAACTGGAAGCCCATGGGTCTCTGGTGACGTCAATGAGCTTGGAGCCCAATTCCTTGAGAAATCCCAAGGCACTTTTGCCCCAGGGGCCATATAATAATGCTATATATATATATATATATATATATATATATATATATATATATATATATATAATGTATATTTTTCCTGTTAAACGTCTGGTATTTTATACCTAGGGGGGATTTCAATGATGATATGTGGTGAATAGAAAAACGAAGTGTGTTCACGGGAAATTAGGGAACATGGAGGGGAATTATTGCGAGTACAAGGGAATTTTGGCGGCGATTGGGGGTGTATGTGTTAAAAAGGAACTACTGGTTTGTGTGTGTGTGGGGTGGGGGGTGGGGAAGAATTAAGGTTTGTGGAGAGGGTACTAGGGTATGTGTGTGGAAGGGGAATTATGGAATTTAAGGGGAACGGAAGGCGTACGAAGGCGTTGTTTTAGTGTAGAGAAAGAAGATATAATTACATGAACGTGTAATTATGAGAGAATTAGGGGGATAAGAGTGTGGTTGTAAACGCTTCAAAACATTGGTGGTGGTGGGGGGGGGGAGGGGGGAAGGGAGGGAACGTGATGTGAGGTCGGTGGGGTGCTTACATATTTCTTTCTGTTAGTATTTTCAATGTAAAACTCCTGGTTAATTACTGAAGTACAAGACTAATATTAAAGCGAATA